TGTGTGTGTGTGTGTGTGTGTGTGTGTGTGCGCGCGCGCCTCTGCCATGCTGCCCGAGCGCCATAACATCGTATCTCTGCGGACACGACAGTAAATGTGATGTATCGGCATTTCCTGTCCCCGGTAAAACCCGCAATATTCTAAGACGTCGCACACGGGACTTAAGATCCGGGAAGGGACGCTGTGACCCCGGTGCGAGCCCGCAAACCTGCGTCAGAGGCCGGGTAAGTGTTGGGGAAGGCTTTCCTATTTTATCCTTGTGTCATTCACAACCAGACATCAGTAACAGCAGCCTGGTGTTAACACGGCGTCTTCAGCTCACACAGATAACTCGCGCGCTCTGTCAGTGTGAAGCACCGACAGCATCAGCCAGACTCCATTGAAAAATCGTACATTTTAAAGCCTTCTTGCCTTTCAGTTGAAATGTGTGCATTAAAAATACAAATTAACACTATATTTGACTCAATATAAGACAAATGTTAATTTCGGCGTTCATATAATCCACTAACAACCAACATATGAGCTCAATTCACGCTGGGCTCTCTTGCTGCTCACCACGGAGTAGGACGCTTTCATTGGCAGGAGTCGCAGGCGGGACAGTTGAAAAAGTTAAAAGTTCTCCACAGTTTAATCTTTTTACATTCTTTTAATTCACGCCGAATTTAAGAGTGAGTCTTCCTACTTTAGAAATTATATTAAAGCTTGTTTAATTAATATGTATATTTGTCTTTACACGCAAAAACGTTAAATTGTTTGATTTCCAAATGGAGTTTTGAACACATCATTGGCACGATGACTGAATCCCATTGTAGGCTATGCTGCACAATAGGTAAAGACACCACTCTGATATATCATTGCTTCAATGATATTGCATCGTGTTATTCTAAATTCAGCAGCTTACATTAATAACTGGCACACACGCGCGCGCGCGCGCACACAGACAGCAGCAGGGATTGTGTTCGCTTCAGTGCGCTTGGCCGACCGGATCCAGCGTCTTCTCTCCAACATTTTGATGCCAAACAAAGCTGGTTTACAACGTGTGTGCATCATGCAGAATCTGTGAGGGTTTAGATTATGGATGGAGTAACAGCAAACTGCATGCATGCAGCCTGGGTCAGATAGGACTGTAAATCATTATAAATATTATATTGTGTTGGTGTAGTGCTGCGCATTCTCTTAAAATAGTCTCAAGGTGAGGAATATTTCTAAAATGTCTTATAAAATATTGATAATATAAGAGCTGGTCTTTCTATTTTATCACGTTACTCTCATTTCATGTGTTATTTCTTAGTGATTTTAATGCTAAAGTAAATTTCTGTTCATGGAGCCACAGGAAAACTGATGAAAAACAAATTTTTAAAAATATCTAAACACCTGTATTTTTACTTTACTTTATTTTTTGTAATTGTCATCACACCTGCCCAGGAACTACAAGTTTGCCAAACTGGTCCCTGTAATATTAAACTGTGTAACTAAATAAATAAATATACAAATACTGTAAACATGGCATGACTTCAGCTGCAGGTTTGTAACCTGTGTGTGTCTGTGACATGTCAGCTGGCTGTTGATCAGCTCCATGATGAACTCTCTTCTCATCGCTGAACTGGTTCAAGTTTGGAAATCTGATATGGAGGAAACGCCGCATCAGGTTTACTACAGTTAAGCCAACTCGTACCGGAAACGATGTTTATACCTTCAAAATAAAAACAGTCACTTTTTTTTATCACTGAAACTAAAGGAAACTTGAGTGTTCTCTCTTGGGAGTAATATAATATGTACCTGAAGTGTGTGACATTTATAAAAGGAGGACGCAAAGACAGGCATGAACTGAACCAGCATGTGCAAAATGTGCATCACAACTGGCATGTTTATTAATCAGTTAATGGCATTTTAATTCACTGATTGAGCAGACTCCTGAATCTGTGCCTCATCTTTTAGACCAGGGATACTCAACTTCCTTTGCCCAGCAGACAATTTTTGCAAGGTGACAGTTAAGAAGCAAACAATGGTATTTACCAGTATTGTATAATAAAGAAATGCCTCTTTTCAACCTTTCAACATTTGCTGTCTTCACTCAAGTCCAGTCGCAGCTGCCCCGCACAGGTCAGATATTCTACAAGCAGGGTCGTTTCTAGTTTAAATGAATTTTGTTATTGCAACCCTATAGCCAAAAGATACTTGTTAACAAGGTGAAGAATGTCCTTCCCCGTTGTTAATTAACAAAGCTCTATTAAATGTTTTCTATGCACTCTGGTGCTCCAGTTATATCCAAAGTACAAAAAAAATCCCAGTGTGAATTATTTTATTTTCATTGTCATTTAGAGAATGGTCGGCAAGCAGCCTATCATGGGACAAATTTGGCTGAATGTCACTGTTGTTGAACCTGTCTTGTAGAGGGCCCCTGTGCCACAATTCACCTTTAATACTTTTCAGTATCTCAGTTTATATTAGCCTTATGTCCGTCATACAGTTACAGACTAAACTGAGCAGCACAGAAGGTTTATTGTGGGCCTGCAGTGCATTTTTTGCTTGTTAGTGGGTTAACTTGACCATGCAAATTAAAGTCAACTTTTTTTTATCATATAGCCCACACAGAGGAAAGTGAGAACAAAAGAAAGAAGAGAAACACAAAAAATTGAATGATAGCAATAAAATTACAATAATGATAACATGTGAAAAATCTTGAACTAACAAAAGCACAATTTTTGATCTTTTTATATTTCACAGTATTTTATAGAGTATTTTTATAGAACTCAAATCAATACACTTATTACTTATTATTCCTAATCTGTGACTAAAATAAATGATTTCATATAAATTTAAATATACTACTTTATTTTGAAGGAGGCCACCGGAAGCTGTGTGTGTCACTGGGTGTGAGCTAACCCCTCTGGCAGAGACAGACAGCAGTAACATGCGGAGCAGCTGATGCTCAGCGGGGCTAAAAATAATCAACTTTTTACTCTGCAGCTCTCACTGTATTTGGTTTCTGTTCCTCTGACTCTTTTCTTTCTTGTTAAATAATCCAGGCTTCAGGAATGAGACGGTGTCGCTGAGGATTTTTACTTTTCTTCGAGGTAAGAAGAGACTTTGGTGTTTAAATTCAGCTAGCTTAAATTAATGACTCAATTAACGGTCACGCAGATTATCTTCTGAGTGTGTGTTGAGGGTGTATTTAATATTTTAAAATAATTTGGTTTGATAAAAGGGGCTGTTGACTCAGGTGTTGATTATGGTTAAAGTTGGAGAGTTATTTACTGCCTGTCAGCAAGATATCAAACTTTTACTTTACATGTTAGCACCGTTATCCTGAGTAGCTAGCTAACTACTGCACTTTAATTACACTTTTTGCTTTGCTAGTGAGCCCTACAACTCTCACTTAAAGGGACACTCATGTGGCCAAAGTAATACATAATAATATGAATGAAATTGTTAGAAAAGTGAAGTGACACTTGGGAATATTATAATTACTCATAGCTAACAGCTTTTGTCGTTAGCTTAAGTTTTGCCGTGTATACTGGACTCCAGTGGTGCCAACCTTTAATGTTAAAGAAAAAGTATCAACACTTTAACATAAACATCTTAAACGATTTATGTAACATCATATATTTCTGTGTTATGAGTCTTTATGCCCATTTCTTCCCCAAACTGTGGTAATTTATTCATCGTTATGTTGTTTTTTGTCTAAAACAAGATGGCCGCTAAGTGCAGCATTCGGCGGCCATCTTGTTTTTGGTTTGGAATGGAGACAAATGTTAGCCTTGTGTCATACAGACACAGCTAATCCCCAAATAAATTAATGAGGTCATCCTCTTTCTGTCCAGAACTGCAATTTTGACTGTGGGTGGCTAGCTAGCTATTTCCACCATTGCTGTGTCTCAAATCGTGTACTTCCATTAATACACTTCAATGTAGTATACTATGTGCACGATGTACTTATAGGCGTAGTGCGTGAATTTCAACAGGGTAGTGTTGTCTCAAACCAAAGATGGCCGTTGTGCACTCACCGGAAGTGACGACCGCAGCTGTTAGCTAGTTAGCAAACTAGCATTAGCATTCACGTTATCGTTCGCGGTACCAAATCATTACAGACTGCTAAATTAACCCAATAAATACACTGCTGGCTCATATCCGACAACAATTTAGTGGTGCTTAGTGCAAAAAACACATGTATATTTGTCCAATGCAGCGACTTTCATGGTCGCACAGTCCTCGGCTGCCATTTCCAGTTTAGAAAGTGGTCCCTCCCCTTCCGCTACGCAGCCAAGATGGCGACCATTGAGGGCGAGAAGTGTCCGTAGTTCCACACTCAACTTTTTGACTGTTTTGGGAGCACCATTCGGGTACTCATAGTGCACTGCATTTTTCCATACTTCTCAGTGTGAACGCACTTATGCACTCAAAATATTAAGTGTAAATATAAAGTACAGAAGTATACGATTTGAGACACAGCACCTGTTTATATGCTAACGTCACAGTGGTTACAGAAAGTGAGCCAATGTGAGAAGAGTGCGTGGCTGAAGCATTTGGCCCTGGTCACACAGACAGTGTTTTAGCAGCTGGAGGTGCCTTTTTGTAATTTTTAAAAATGAGAATGGCGCCTTTTGCTCAGTGTTTTTGCGTTGCTACTCGCCTGGCGTTTCTGCCAGAGCGCTCTTAACTTCTTGAGTTGAAAAAACGTCAACTCCAAGCACAAAAGTGCCCCACCTCATCTACGCCTTTCCCCCCTTTGTCTGATTGGATGATTTGAGAGGCGGTTGGTTAATATACTCTCTGCATTCTTAGAATAATAATGATAATAATAATTGACCCTTTGCTGAGTCCCTCCAATGCAGACTGACCAATCATAGCGCAGCATCGGCCATTAAGGGTCAGACAACAACACAGCTGTGCTCCATTGACTCTAATGCAGTCGTTTCAGATTTCCTTCATTTTCAGGCTGGTTTTGTGGATGTGGAGCTAAATGTTGTGCCTGGGGCACGTCGTGTATTAATGATACTCGTTACCTGGAGAGGCTGGAAAAAGATATGCGTTTCTTCCCTATTCCAAAACCAAAATCAAACCCTGAAAAGTGTAGGGTTAGTTAGCTAGCTACTGAAGATACAGCCTACTGAATGTATACACATCCTGCTTTTGCTTTAGCTTCTAACTATCTTTGTCTTTTTAACCTGTTGTTGCTGCTGAGTCAGTTTGACATCCTGGATATATCCTTCAGACACAGACTGTAGACCCCTCTGTCTGCTTCTCTCTGGAATCACCGTTTCATTTCCTCCGAAAATATGATAATATTCCTTCAGGGAGTGCAGTTAGTTACAGTGTGGGCTCCATGCTTACTGCGACAGCTTGTCGGACCATCAAGAAGGGGCGGGGCTTAGCAAAGGGGTCAATAATAGTAACACCTTTATTTATATAGCACCTTTCACAACAATTTTAAAAAAGTAAAAAAAATCCTCATTTTGTTGACGATGTTTTAAAGTACGGAGTTAAAGCGTGTTTTTTTTTTTGCTCATCAAAAAGACTTAACAGAGTGGTGAGTCACTGCACTATGAACATTATGGAGTCATATTTTTAAGAACCTCCAACCTGTCACTTTAAACATTTTTTTTTTCATATGTTTTTGGGCATTTTTTGCCTTTAATTGACAGGACAGGTGAGCGTGAACGGGGGAGAGAGAGAGGGAATGACATGCAGCAAAGGGCCACAGGCTGGAGTGGAACCCATGCCACTGCAGCAACAGCCTTGTACATGGGGCGCCTGCTCTATCCACTAAGCCACCGACGCCCCCACTTTAAACATTTCTAACATTAACTCAATAACTGAGAGAGGAACAACCTGAGTCTCCTGGAAGTGAAGCCATGGCGTCATGACAGCTTTTAATGAAGCTTTCCAACATGTTCTAACACTTAGATTCATTTAACAGTAATGCAGCATAAGCCAGAGGGACATGTAGCTGGACGGAGCCCCCAGAATAGCTCTCGTGCCTGACACTGGCCTGCATTTGAGTTTCTGTGTGTGTGAGAGTGAGTGTGTGTGCACTTGAGTGTGTGACATGCCATGAAAATGTCTGACCAAGCCTCCAAAGTTCAAACTAAAGCCCTGCTGGTGACGCAGATGGCTAACTGTTTAGGAACAATGGGAAACATAAGATCATATAACACACAGTACAGTTTATATTCACTGGTTTTGGCATCTTGCGTTTTATTTGTGTTGTGTGAGCCGATTGTTTTGTTTTCACAGATTGACTCGAGGCTTGCGTGGAGCAGTCGGGCGGCGGTGGCATGGCCTTGTCGTTTTGCGGCAACGACCCGGGTATCAACTCCTACAGCGTGGACTCGGGCGTGCTGAACAATGGCTGCTTCGTGGACGCTCTCAACCTGGTTCCCCATGTCTTCCTGCTCTTCATCACCTTCCCCATCCTCTTCATCGGTAGGTGATTGAAATGGACACACATGTACACACACACACATCTGCTTAACATTTCTGCCCTGTGGAAAATACAAGCTTTCTACTTTTTTGAATGATCACGTTGTGCTGACATTTTTTGCACGAGCACAAATGTTAGTCTCTTGTGAGGTCATACTACTGACCTATGTTTACACCCTGAAAGGTGCACCCTGATCTTAAACACACCTGCTACATACCTTAACCCAAGTAGCTTTAAATTACCCTAAACCATAAAACTGCAGGAACAGTATCAGAACTTAAGTATTAACTCTGCTGCCTGCGAGGTCAGTCCCCCCTCTGTAACCACATGGTGGACACACACTTGATAATGACCTTTATTCCAAAGCTGTCTCTGTATGTCAGCCAGTTAGTTAAAAAAAGAAATACACTGTTGAAAGTATTTTGATTGACAAAATGAAACAAGACCAGGTCAAAACCTAGTGTGTGGCTGGACCGTGTATAAAACACTAGAGAGTGGCGGCATGAATCACAAACTTTTGCCATGACAGAAATGAATGTAAATATATGTCAGAATGAAGAACACTTGCACGCGGTCACACAGCAGAGCGGACTTGCTTTCTCTGGAGCTGTACCCACTGATCTTTGCAACACATTCTCACTCCGACCTCGTCACACATCAACAAATAGCATTGACCTTCCATGTCCAAATACAACGTGCAAGGTACCCTGGGTGTGTTGGTTGTTGATGTTCTGGGACACCTTGTCAAGTTCTTCCTGTTACATGCATTGTCTTCTTTCAAAATACACTTCCGTTGTTACAGGAAGTTTACCATTTACATACGGTCTCTTTCAAAATAAAGCACTACGTCAGTAAAACACTGCAAATTAATGTTGTTGTCCTGCGAAACGAACAGGGTTTGGCTAGAGTGTGTTTGTTGGACCCATCCACCATCCCTCCCACCTGCTCTATGTGGACTTTGTCACCTTAACTTTTGTTCTTGTCCGGCCGTGTTTACCCCTGACACCACCGAGCACTGTTAAACTATAATGGCAACTGGCCGTGTACCATGCTGACGTTAAAGGAAGGCTTTTATCGTTAGTCATTTCGTTTACATGCACACAGTAGTGGAGCTAAACTCATAGCTCAGCTAATCAGTCAAGTTGGACTTCTCGTCTTGTCTGAGTAAACATGCAGAAGAGAAAATCAAATTTCTGACCAAGTACATCCGACTCCGCCTCTATAGGTGGCGCTGTGTCCTTTTTGATATAGTATATAGCTGACTCCGGGGTGTTTTCGGACCTAATTGTATTTCTATGCTTTCTTTTGATTTTCACATTGGCTAGTCATCCTGTTTAATTTGTCTTCTGATTAAATTGGAACAGTTGAAACAAGTTCTAGGAAGCCTCTGCAAGTAATTGGTTGCTGGCAGACACTCTGTGCTGCAATAAAATGGTTAATCAGCAGTGCCGAGCACTGTAGAGCCGATACGCTGTTGGTTCTGCCGGCCTGAATAGAATATTGGGCTCAAGTTGTGCAGACCGGGTGTAGCGGAGGCGCAGCGCACCTGCGCTTCGTCAACTGGGTGTGGCCAGGCGGATTTTGCAAGTTTGGCACACTGTGCGCCTGGTGCAGCTACTCCTCTTTCCCACCTCCGTCCCTCCTACCGGCGCAAGTCGGAAAGAGGGAGGAGAGAAGGTGTGGAGTGGGTTTTACACACATCACACCAATCAAATGAGCCCCTCTCCTCGCCCTTAAATGCGCTGCGCGAAGGAGTAATGAGAGTTTACTCAATTCGCCATGGCAGAAGACAGCAGCAGCGTCAGACAGCCAAACTTCTCCCAGGAGGAAACTGATGTTTTGGTCCGGAAGGTCTGCTCGAAGTGTCCGAATATACGGAACTGCGAGCAGACCTCCACGGGCTGATGATGCAAAGGTAACCTGGGAGGAGGTCACCACAATTGTAAATCAATGTTGCATTTCTCTCGTGCGCACGCGCTCTCTCTTTCTCTCTCACAGTCTCACTCTGTTTCTTTTCTTTTGACTTTTCTAAGATGACAGATGCTGAATATATACTCCCTATCTGATGCTGTGGCTGCCAAACGTGCCAAACGGTGCCAATCCCCTTTGATCTGACATCAGATGTGACGGGACAGTCGATATAGAGATACATTTATGTGCTGATTGCAGATAGTTGCATTGAATAGTGTTTTTGTGGGTATTTATTGCATCGTTAATGTGCCTGATATTCTGGAAACCTGCCTGTGAGGTTTTGGTGACGTGTGTGCACTGTCTGCTGGTCAGCCAAACTTCGGCTTACACCGGCCGCGCTCCCCCTGCGCTGACAGTAGACCTGGTTTCAGATGGCGAGCTTTTAGCGCACCTTCGGTGAAGCCTTTTGGCACGAAACTGTCACTGCGCCAAGCTGGATCTGTCGACACCTCCCCCTGCTGCGCCGCCACACCCATCTCAGCGCACCTCGGTCTGCCAAACTACCAAACTGAGCGCGCCTCGGGTTGCGCTGCTCGAAACTAGCTCTGCGCGGGGTTCGCCACCCTGCTGCGCCACCCTGTCTATAGCCTTACTGTTGTGTGTACAGCCTTATAGACTGAGCTGAGTAGTGATGCGCGGGTCGACCCGTAACCCGCGGGAACCGAAAATGGACCTGCAGGTCGGGCAGCAGTGATCATCTGTTAAATCGGTCTGTAAATGATATTTTGACATTATTGACTATTACTGTCATGGCATCCGAAGGTACTGATGCGTTGAGCAGGTGACAGTCCGTGGTCGTTTTCAAAACACACTTGTGTCACGCACTCCAAAAGAAACTTGTTGAAACTTTAAACAATAATTTATTGTACAAAACGGGGGAAACAAACGTTGATAAAAATGGTTCCATAATTCATATCAAATTCAAAAGATAACGAAAAAACAGCTACAAGTTAGAGGGAATAGTGATAAAGTGGTAAAACTTAGCATTGATCCACAGCCTCAGACGGATGCGCTCAAGTGTGCCGTGCGCACAAGCTCCGTTGGTAGGCTATACTATATTTTCACATTTTTAACAATGCAATTTAAAAGTTTTGATTTTTATTGATAACCTACATTTACCAACAACAAAAAGACTACATTTAGCGCCAAAAAAAATAAAAAACGAATATCGAATACCAAATTTTCATAATGAATACCTACCCATAGAAACGAATATCCGAATATTTGGGTACAGCCCTACAAACATGATTGACCTGACGTCAGGTCGTATTTAACTTGCTACAATTTTGGACGAACAAAAACGGACTCCGTGCTCAAAGGCCTTAACACATAATAGTCAAAACCTTTAAATAATTTTAGGGCTTGTGTCATACAAACATGGCTGTTCCTCAAACAAACTGATGAGGTCATCCTCTCTGTCCTCCGTCCAAAACTGCACTTTTGACTGCAGGTGGCTTGTTAGCCAGCTAGCTTGCTATTTCCACCATGCTAACATTTCAGTGGTTACAGAAAATGAGTTTCATTACAGGTTAAGTTTTGCTGACTTCTAAAAGTACCAGATGTACAGTATTTTGGGCCAAATGCTGTAAACGTCCTGAGTGGTGTGAGTCTGTGTTTTGTGACAGATGTCTAAGTGTTTCCTGTTAAAGCCTCTGAAAGCTTCACCTTTTCTGCTGGAGAGTCTCAGAGATTGCTGCAGCTGTCAGGGCTGAACTGATCCTGTGCGGATAAACAGTGTGATCTTTGCTCAGAGTGTTCGATACATACAGGACTGTGTTTAATACGTGTGATTATGTAACGCTTATAAGGGTAAACATGCTTGTTTGTCTCTATACACATGCCTAAGCACTGTGATAGACGTGTGTGTGTGTGTGTGTGTGTGTGTGTGTGTGTGTGTGTGTGCGTGTGTGCGTGCCATGTGACCCTGAACAGGATAAGGGGTTTAGATGTGTGGATATATGGATGTAGGAGTGGGCACTAAATCCTCTATCACGATCTGTGTCATTTTATATTTCATATATAGCACTCATATTAATACATATTATAGTCAAATGATTGAAAAATAAATTGAAAAACTGTTCATAGGCAAAGCTTTTAGTTATTACATTGAATTAAATACCTGACAAACCAAGAAACTTCATCATACTGAGGCATTAAATCATACTAAAATCCAACATCACCATAAATCACCAGTACCTTAGCTTCCCTGTTGGATTCCAGCCTGCTTCTTTAAACTGGGGGCATGCTGACTCACTGTCTGTGGATAACTACCTCATACAACCACACTTAAAAAACTCTGAACTGTCCCTTTAAGTACACACTGAAGCGTCTACTCACCCACTTAATTCTCTTCATCCAGTGCAGGACAACGGGCCACAGTGAGCTCCCTCCATTGTTCAGTATCATTGGCAACATGTTGAACCTCACCCCAAGTTAAGGTCAACTTGGCTTTTCACTTGATTCGGCATAGTTCTGCCCCAAGTTATTTTTGGTCTTCCACGGTTTTCCTTTGCCTGGAAGAGTCCATCCCAGAGCAGCCTTTGGGATACAGTCTGCCTCCATTTAAAGCACGTGGCTCAGAGACCACTGCAGGAGAGATGCTCTTGCTTTTTGTTTTCCTGCACAGTACCAGAGTTGTGGTCTTGTTGGGCTAAAGGACGCCCCAAAGCTTTGTCTTGCATCTATTTTGGACATTTTTTGTATCCCACAACATTCAAAACTTCACATTAAGTCTGACTTCACACTGCTTTTATATACAGTAGAAAGACTTTGTTTTATGCTGTATAGGGCCGACGTCACAGTGACATCAGTTTGTTAGCTGGAGGCAAAACCTGCCTCTCCCCCACAGGGCTGTAGGCTACACAGGAGTCTTAAGATGTGTTTGTCTTGTTGTGTTATTGGGAGCCAGAATAGAAGGAGTCATGGCTCAAAATCAGCCGCCACTGCCCGTCAACAAAAACAAAGATGGAAATGTGATAAGACCAAAGGACTGGACGGAGGCCATCATCAAAAATGCTCACATGTGCAGCGCACACTTCATATCAGGTTAGGGAAAAAGTATTTCCTGTTGTAGGGATGAATAACGTTATGTGTATTAAGGGTTATCATGTCCACCTCATCAGAAACTGGGGAGGGATTAAGAGGAATATTGGATTTCTCTGGAACGCTAACTTTTTAGCACATTAGCTAACGTTAGCTTCCATAGCAAAACAAACAAGTGTGGTCCTCCTTTGTAAGATTGGCTTCCTGTGACATCATCCATCCACTGAGTGAGAGCATACGGGTCGGCCAGTCTGGTCCCGTTGGTCAGTGTTTACTTATTCAAGTAACACTGGCGGTCCCGGAGAGTGAGTGACCTGACATGGTGCGTTGGAGCGTTATATTTCTACATGAATTAACCAACAGTTAAGTTAATCACACATTCACTCTGCTGCTGTGTCTCCCTAGAACCTCTCTGAGAGTGTGGCGCTCTGAATAACCGAACGGTACATTCAGACAGAGCTGTGATTTTATGAATGGCCCAGTCTGTGTTAGAGTGTGCTCCAACACTCAGAATGTGTATTTCTGAACGCACCACTCGCATTATCTTCCTCCATCGTCTAAAACAAGCTGAAAGAACTCATTAGATAGTGCTGGTTAATGCCTATGGAGAATTGTTTTGCCTCCAGCTAAGCCCCGCCCACCAAAAAACATCTTTCTGTTAACTAACAGTGAAAGGGTCTGTATGGACTAGGGATGTCATGATTATAGATTTTCTTGGTACGATTATTGTCAGAGAAATAATCACGGTTTTACGATTATCACGATTATTATGCATTAATTAACTTCACACTATGAATGTGTAAAATCACATGAACACATAGATCTTTAAGTTTCATTTATTTCAATGCCAACATAACAAAAATAATATAGCAACAAAGGTTTATTTTTTGTTTAAATTACAATTTCATGTCTGATGAAGGGCCTGGGCCTGAAACGTTACATGTGGTGATATTCACATTCAATCTTTGGAGCAGTATCTAGTGTGCGGACTCACTTTACTACATGCCTCTTTGTGGTCCTGGTCCAGCACCTAGTCTTTTTCTAGGATGTGCGTGTCTTTTTGTTCTCTTTAAATTACAATTACACAAGTAAATTGAGAGCGTATCTCGTGCAGTGTTAATAATAAATGAAACAGACATCGTGCTGGAAGGACAAGTCCAGCATTTACTCAACACAGATGGGAGGAAGCAAAAGGAGGTAATACTAATGCTAAATGTTCACTGACTGAGGACCTTGAGAAGACATTACGTACATCTTCCACATTGCACACTGACACTGAAACAGTCTGACGACAAAAAAAATGATTTGACCTCACGCTGTGTGCACACAAACTGCAAAACTATCCATCAAAAAAGTTTCAGAGACGTGCCTTAGCTTGTCACGTTGCCATTAATTGCAAATGACACGCTAACATATAATTTTTAATTCAGTGTTACAATAGATAAATTGAGACTGACGTATTTTAACCCAATTATTGTGCATTTACCTTTACTTGCGCATGTAAAGCCGGGTGGTTGTCCCGCAGGTGTTGTATCATGACTTTTTTGCGGCATGTTTTACAAACTGGAAAGCCGTCATCAATAATGACCCCTTGGTCATTTTGCGATAGCCAAAATGATCCCACACGGCTGACTTTATCCGTTTTTTGGGGGGGAATAAGTCTTCATCCATACTTCATCACTTGGAGACGCCTATTCAGCTGTACCGCTTGTGTAACTTTGTTTTCGTTCCGTGCGACTGCGAGTGGCGCTGATCTGCCTACTGTATATGGTTCCGCGTCCCTGCATAATCTTTGGCGAGTGATGGTGTTGAGGAATCTTTACGAATAATTAACCGTGGCATTTAAAATCGCGGTTAATAGTGAAATCAAGTAATCGTGACATCCCTAGTATGGACTTGGACTTGGGAGAGCTATCCAGTTAATACGTTTTCATATCGAAATATTATATTGACATTTCCCTTGAGTTTCCTTGACAGTTATATTATCCGCAAAAACATCTCTGACAGCGAGGAGTGAAGGAGGGAAACTAGTGTTGTTTCCCACTCAGCTGTGTTACATGAATCTGTTAGTGCAGCATCACTCCAGGTCATGTAGTGGGCAGAGCAGATGTGTCAGTGACATTAACGGCCCTCTCACTCACACACACAGTTTAAGTCACTGTCTCGTCTCCAGTGTGACATTAAGCAGCTTTGAACAGTCATTAAGACGGGATTAGAAGAGTTCAGTGATCTATTGGGGACTGACTGCTGCTGCAGGAAATCATAAAACAAACAGTAAACAAAATGCAATTTAAACAAATATATACAAATATACTGAATATATTATAGCGCTGTGATGTTAGCAAGTATTTCTGAAGTTCAGTTCTGTAATACTTCCTGAACAAGAACAATAAACCCTGTGTATTAAGAAGAAAAAACACAGAGGAAGAGGCGAAGAGGTCAGGAGGACAGAGAGGAGGAGAGGAGGGAAGAAGAAGGAAGGACTGCTCTGTTATTGCTGCATTACTTTCCAGAGAATAACATTCAGTGAATACGTGTTTGGTTATATGTTCTGTGTGTGTGTGTGTGTGTGTGTGTGTGTGTAGTTTATGGGAATGGTTCTGACCAGAAGCCCTCAGCCTGCTCCCCGAGGACTCACTAATTGATGCTTCCTGGTTCTAGTTTTTTATGCTCTCTGTCCCATGAACCTCCGAAATGGCTGCGGTCCATTGAGTTAACAGAAACAGACTTCACAGAAGACACTGTTCCCTCAAACTAAACCCTGTGGAACCCCTTTTTACCAATAAATTAAAGCTGGATTAAATCGACTTTTACCTCGGGGTTAGCGCTGTGAATGATGTCACACCTGGGTTGACCACGTTTCAGTTCAACAAGCTGGAAAACCTGTGCTGTATTTTGCACATATAAACACTGTAGTAACGTCCAAAGGTAGAGGATGGACAGGACTGTGTGCATGGCTGATTCAATGAGACACAAACAAGACAGAAGTGCTAATAAACATTATATTACTACAGCTTCCACTACTGTTGATGTTTGGAGCAGCCATCCTGGATTTTAAGGTCGGGGTTGGTGAGGTTCCTCTGACTTTCTGAGCTGGAAATCCGACTTTTGGGGGGTGTTCAGTTGAAATTTCCAACTGGGAACTCGGAAATTCCGACTTCCCAGTGCAAATGAAACTCACCATTAGTGTTGGACTGAAATTCAGAGCTGCTGAAGCATCAGAACTTTTATCTTTTTATAGTGTATTTAGAGCTACAAAGATCAGTGGATTTTAATCTGTGACTATTTTGATAATTGATTAATCATCCAAAAGTCAATTTTAAAGCAAAAACATTTGGTAAATATTTGGTGGTTCCAAGTTGTCAAACGTGAGTATCTGCTGTCGACCACCATCTCTTTTTGTTGGACTTTTTAGTTTGGCTTTTATTAACTATTTTATTGTTATTATTTGTCATCTGCATTACAGTCTTGGAAGGCCATAGATTTTTTTGTGTTATTATTTTTATTTTATTTTATTTCTTTTTATTTTATTTTATGTTTTATGCATTATTTTTATTTTATTTTATCTTATCTTTTCTTTTGTTCATCATTTTTATTTCATTTTATTTTATTTTTTTGTGCATTATTTGTATTTTATTTTATGTTTTATACATTATTTTTATTTTATTTTATGTTTTATGCATTGTTTTTATTTTATTTATTTTTTTGTGCATTATTTTTATTTTATTTCTTTTTATTTTATGTTTTATGCATTATTTTTATTTTTTGTGCATTATTTTTATTTTATTTTATTTCTTTTTTTTTTTTTCTTTTATGGTTGTTTTGACTTTTTTTTAATCTTTTTTTTAAATCTATTTCTTTAGTCTTGTTTTTTTTTTCTACCATAACTGTTATTATAACTTTATATTATATTTAATAATTTTATAGTCTCTTGTGCGTTGGACTCAATTGTTTAATTGTTTTTATGGTCTACACTTGTTCTGTCTTATCGACTTGTCAGTCTTCTGTGAAGCACTTTGAACTGCATTAACCTGAATGGATGGTAAGATACAAATGAAGATTGATTGATTGATTCACCTTCACTCTTCCTGCCTCTCTCTCTGTATCTGTCTGTCAGGTTGGGGCAGTCAGAGCTCCAAAGTCCAGATCCATCACAACACATGGCTTCATTTCCCCGGACACAACATGAGATGGATCCTCACCTTCTCGCTGCTCTTTGTCCACGTGTGCGAGTTCGCAGAGGGCATCGTCTCCAACAAGTGAGACTTCAGGAAATATAGTTCATGTTGTCTTCAGTGAAGTTAAACACATAATGAAAAGGTTGACGGCTTTGGTATGAATTATATTTTGTGTCTGCAGGATGATGGACACCAACCACCTCCATCTCTTCATGCCAGCCTTCATGGGGTTCGTCGCAGCCACGACGTCAGTGGTTTACTACCACAACATCGAGACATCCAACTTCCCCAAACTGCTGCTGGGTAAGACTCAACACCAGAGACACTGAGCTGGTTAATCATCATCTTGATTTTGCTTTAACTTTTACCTGTCCTTGATATGACATGACATCACTGTTGTGTTTCCACGCAGTCCTGTTCATCTACTGGGTGCTGGCGTTCATCACAAAGACCATTAAGCTGTGGAAGTTTGCAGTGTACGATGTTGGACCTCAGCACCTGCGGTTCTGCATCACAGCCCTATTAGTGATCCTGTACGGACTGCTGATGGCCGTGGAGATCAATGTCATAAGAATCAGAGTGAGTAATCATGTTTCATCCAAAGTCACTAACTGAACAACCTTCAGTTCAATTTTATTTATAAAGCACAATATCACAAATCACAGTTTGCCTCAGACGACAGCATGACGACAGCGCTGCGCCGTAGGAGTCGAAAAGTAGCCTTCGCTTCTAGGAAGGAAGTTTTTGCTGTTTTGCCGACGGGATACAGCAAAAGCATAATATATCAGTTAGCCCCACTGGTTGGCAAACAAATGGGGCTTAGTGCAATGAATACGTCACCTTGTTTTTTGCTCTGATTGGCCATCATGCTATTCAATTGTGTGCGGCGGCATTTGAAATGCCTCAGTTAGTGCCGCCCCTTGGGTAGGAGGGGTGTATTGATGACGGCCAGGCTCAAAATCTTTCTAGATTTGAGTCTGGATTTCCAGGCTAGGAGGGAGCTGGAGCACCTGGAGGAAACCCACGCTGACACAGGGAGAACACGCAGGCTCTGCACAGAAGGGCTCCCTCCTGGCATTGAACCAGAAACCCTCTTGCTGTGAGGCGACAGTGCTAACCACTACACCACCGTGCCGCCCCTGTTCAACACAGTTCTGCCCAAAGATTCAAGATGAGATGAAACCGTTTTAGAATGTTGCAGAGAACAGTAGCAGTGTGAACTGGCCGGTCTGAGCTTCACTCAAGCCGGCCGATGGTGTCACCTGACCTCACATCAACGGCTGGTTTTAGACTGTAAAGCTGGTCAACAGTCAATCAGCATGTAGTTCAAGTCAAAACGACCACACTTCTGTTTCTGTCCTGATGGCGTGCAGGTGTCAGATGGTGGGTCGCTGCTGCTGCTAGCTGTGCGTACTCCAAATTTACAAACGGTCCAGTTTGTGCCAGAGTGCGCTCCAGCACTTGAAATGAGTATTTCTGAACGCGCCACTCACATCATCTTCCTCCATTGTCTAAAACAAGCCAACAGAAGTTGCTAGCTAGCTCTAGCTCATGTCTGTGAAGAATAGTTTTGCCTCCAGCTAAGCCCCGCCCACCCAAAAACGTCATACTGTTCACTAACAGTAAAAGGGTCTATATATTGTTTGTTAGTAGAATCCTGCATAGTAAACCTTTAATGAGTTTGATCTAGGTAAAAACAGTATATCATTTTTCTAGTAACTGTATTTCACTATTTTCCAAAAATGATAAATGGCATGTGGGGACTTTTCTTTCTCATGTTTTCTTCTCTTGCATCAATCTGGATATTTTCTAGCTTTATAATAACAACTCGGCGTTTCTTGCTGCCATTAATTTTGTCCTTTTCTTTCCCCGTAGAAATATGTGTTCTTTGCCAACCCCCAGAAGGTGAAACCACCAGAGGATTTGCAGGATTTGGGGGTTCGCTTTCTGCAGCCGTTTGTCAACCTGCTGTCTAAGGTAGGTTTCTAAATTTCAAAACACTGACTGAAACAATCAGGATCAGCTGAAACAGTAAAAACGTATCCTATATTCAGACTCACCTTTTCACATCATGTAACAGCCAAACTTCAAAATGAATATCAGATGTCACTGCAGCTCGACTGGACAGCAGATTAAATGGTACAAATTCTTGGCACGTTTTAGGCGACATACTGGTGGATGAATCCTCTCATCATTGGAGCCCATAAGAGGCCCATAGAGCTGAAGAAGATCGGCAAGCTGCCCATCGCCATGAGAGCCCTCACCAACTACCTACGGCTCAAAGATGCTTACGAGGATCAAAGGGTGAGCAGCTGGAGGCCCGCACCTGGTTTAATGCAGCGTTTGGTTCCTTCTGTAATTCTCAAATTTAAACTCATCTTCCTTCCCGCCATCATCTCTCACTCCACACAGACACCTGAGGACCCGAATCGAGCCCCGTCAATCTGGCTCTCCATGTACCGAGCGTTTGGTCGTCCCATCCTGCTCAGCAGCACTTTCCGTTACCTGGCCGACCTGCTGGGTTTCGTCGGGCCGCTCTGCATCTCTGGCATCGTAAAGTACATGCAGAATGGAACACATACTGCACCGCCGGACAAGATCAAGGTGGGTGTGTGTACGTATGAGCCTGTGTGAGCCAGAGAGGTGAGATGGTGTGTGTGTGTGGGCCTAAATATGTGCCAGCAGTGAAGACAAATCAAAGGCTGGAAGTAGGTTGTGACATACATTAAGTGCACCGTGTCTGCTGCTACGTATGGCTGCCGTTGTATACACTGGAGTAAATGATAGAGGGAGGTCCATGTCTGTCGCTGACAGCTGTGAGATAAAACCAGCCGTAAGAGAGTCACATTTAAACATCCTGAGATGAACGCAGAAGGCGACTGAGGCGACAGTGTGAAAAGTTGAGCGTCATTGAGTTCCCTTCAGAGAAATCATGTTTGGGCTGATGTTACTGGAGCCATTGACACGACCAGTGTTTACATAAGGTCATTGTATTAAAAGCTAAGTGCTAATTAGTGCAACATCATGGCTCATCCACACCGCACACACACACACAAGTTGTGTCGCAGCCTCACAGTGATGTTGGGTGGTCCAGCCAACCAATAAATGACTCACTCTCCAGTGTGATGTCACCAAGGCGTGGGGCACAGTCATTATGTCACCACCAGTACGTGTGTGTCTGATACTTCTTTTACACCAGTGACCAGGGTCGGACCTGGGGTTGTCTGACCTGTGTTCAACCTTTCGTCAGGGTTCCAATGGTCATGGAAAACCTGGAAAAGTCATGGAATTTCAGTCACATTTTCCAGGCCTGGAAAAGTTATGAAATTAGTAAAAATCAGTGAAAGGTTTTGGGGGGGGGGGGGGGGGGGGGGGGGGGGGGGGATGTAGAATTTTGTTGTGTTTCATGAAATTGTAACAGTAATCTTTCACAAGTAATGGCAAGTTTATTTATTTTCTGTGGCTGACGACGTAACGTAGCTCTAATGTGTGTCGATGTCTGACGTTTCGTTTACCGTCACGTATGTTTCCTCATTTTCTCTCTACGTTCCGTCTCCTCCTTCATGTTTGCCTGCTAGCTGAAGCCACATTTGAATTAGTCTCTATATACAGGCAAACCCCGGAGATCTTGCCTCTGGAAGAAGAGCGGAAGAGCCCTGGTTTCTGGTTGTAGGCTGTTTGTAGTCTGCGTGATATTGATCAATCACGTTTGAGTCGGCTGCAGTTGTTGCCAGGTTAAATGCTCCGTGCGGTGAACTAATGAGGCGGAACATAATTGATGTCACTGCAAATTCTGAATCCATCGCAATGGTTCAGCATATTTACTTAAATATAAACGGAAGTCGGAAACGGAAATTCACCTCCTCCACCCAAATCAAACCGGAATGCCAAAAAATCGGGGATCTGCCCCCAGAGGCTGTATCGCCGTCTGCCGGAAGTCAGACGCCGAATACAGCCGATGGGGTCCGAGAATGCGTTTGAATAGAGTTTGAATCTGATATGTTTGAAAAATGCCGGGCAAGTAGGGCAAGAAAAAAAAACATTATGGGTCCTTGAAAGGTCATGAAAAAGTTTTGAAACGTTGTCTGTGAAAATGTGCAGGAATCCTGCTTCTTTTGTCTGTTCAAACAAAACCAGCCAACACGGGTTAATCCCTGGTCATGACGATTCATGTACGACCTGGGTCACAACCCTGGATCAATGCATGCCAGTTACCTCAGGTACTGGAAACAGACGGTGGATTTGCGTCCTGTAATATTATGTTGACTTCAGGTTTGCTGCTTTTTCAGTGCCTTCAGTTTGTTTGTGACTTGTTTCTGTGTACGGTGGATACCTCTCTCATCCAGCCGCCTCGTTTTGCTGGCATACACTACGTTGTCCCTTACCATACGAGTTATCTGATGCTTAATTACTTCCTCATCACGGGCTATAGCTGCTACCATTTGTTAAAACTTTCAAACCGTGTCCGACCCACCGTTCAACCTGTGTTTCGAAACCGAGTCAGTCAATGTGGGTAGACCTTTTCAAATCAAAAAATCAGGCTGGTTCAACCCTGGTTGAGCCCTTGGGAAGAGACGGGTACATGTGTGTGACTGAATTTGTAATGTCACAATGTTCTGGTGCTGAAATGACATTGCACACACACAAACACACACTTGTAGTTGTATACATTCCCTACACACACAGTCCCTAAACCTGACTTTAACCATGACAACATTAAACCTAACCCAAGTTTAACCTTAACCCTAAAAACTGTAGTGTAGTTGGAGTTTATGAGGTGGGTGTACTATTATCTTCCACTTATCTTCAACATTCTTTTATTGAACAAATTGAACATTTAACTGGACACAAAAGGCAACGATAAAAGTTGCATGCGCAGTTTTCTACTTATATTGTCTTTTAACTAACTCACAAAATGTCTGAGTGCAAGAAATACTGCAGTCTTTTTTGACAGTATGTTTATTGCACATGTTGACATCACAGTGAGGATTAAAAAACATACATCATGCAGCCTTATTGAATATCTGCTCAAAACCTCAACTCTTCACTCCTTTATTCCAGATTCATGAGGATCTGCACCTGCGTTCATAAATCTGTATAATCTGAACCAAACTTGTAGCTGTTCCACTACAATAACACAAAGCAGTGTATCTACCCGTGACGGCATGGCGGAGAGGGCGCAGCAGTCAGAGAGAAAGCAGACACTTTTACAGACGGTCCATTTGGCGAAGGAAGAGATGCTGGCAGAGCTGATCACAGACATCGACTCCTCTTAAATCCATCTCAGCCTCTTCCAAAGGTCATAATACACCCTGAGCTGGTAACAGAGGCAGAGCAGATGCTTTGGTAATGGCAGTATATTTGCATTCAGTCCATTTGGATGGATGTTGTTAGAGTTGATGTTGAATGTGAGATGCTGTCGGGTCCGTGCCTGCCTATTAAAGTGGGCGTAATGGGCAGCAGAGATAAAGAGCAGAGCAGTGGCTGCATTTCTGAGTGACATGGAAAATTCCCCACTCACCTCACACGCTATTACAGAGCGAAGGTCTGCTGAGCATCACACCGAGCTTTTTGGTACTACTGTGTGTGTGTGTATGTGTGTGTGTGTGTGTGTGTGATTTCAGTACGTATAATAATTCATACCGCATTTATTCTGTGTGTTAGTAGTGGGATAAAATCATCCCATTACAGTATCTTTGTTGTTTGTGTGGCAATATTGTAATAAAATTTTCTGGAAAATCAATTAAGGCTGCTTTCACACCTGCTCTGTTTGGTTTGGTTCAATCAAACTCAAGTTCATTTGCCCCCTCAGTGCGGTTCGTTTGGGAACACACCAAAACAACCGGACTGAGACCTTCTTGAAGAGGTGGTCTCGGTCTGGTTCCAAAGGAACTCTGGTGCGGTTGGTTTGTGGTGAGAAGGTGTTCCGACCTGGATGTGAAGCAACTGCAGTCACATGACACATTGTTTGGGTTAAACATGAGCATGTTACAGTCCTGGAGGATTATTAATGTGCACCTCCTCCTGTACTGCCTTAATATGCACATTCAGCACATCCAATGCATCAAAACATTGTTTTCTAGTTGGAGCCGCGCCTCGTTTTCAAACTGTATGGTTTGACTAAAATGAACAATGACAGCAATATAGTCCACGATGAGCAGCGCTAAAATCAACCTGCGTAGTTGTCCCTCCATTGTGACATTAGAAAGTGTCTTGCAAGTGTACTCTTCTTCAATGTTTGCTTTACTTCCTGGATTTTTCCCACATGGAAATTCTGACCAATCAAGAGCAGCTTTCTCACACAAGGCATTTGATCTGGTCCTCTTGTAAATGCTGCCGTGAGAACACGAACCAACTCTAGGCAATTATACAACTTTGGAACAACATGAGTCCCTGATTCAGACCAAAGGAGACGACTCTAGGTCTGACAGCAGCCTTAAAAACTGTTCATGTATAAAATATCCAAACCTGAATGTATTTTTTGGCTAATCCAGCAAAGAAAATATGTGGGAAAGTACTTCATCACTTTACACAACAACAGTCGTACTCATTAATTTACAACACTGGCTGTTAAACGTCAGACAAATTAGACATGGGAGGGTCGTGGGAGTTTGCCCATCCAGTCTACATGCGTTTTTTGGACCTGGAGAAAGCCACCAAGGAGTCCTGTGGAGGGCATTGTGGGAGTACGAAGTACCAGGGTCATTGCTACGAACTATTCGGTCCTTGCATAACCAAGGTGAGAGTTGTGTCTGCATACTCTGCACAAAGCCAAACACGATTTCAGTGGACGTTGGCCTGTTTGTGATATTCATGGAAGGGATCTCAAGGCACAGCCGGCAGAGGAGAGTGTCTGGTTTCATCTCTTTGCAGATGATGTGGTTTTGTTGGTTTCAAGTTGATATAAATTAATATATAGTTATGTTTAATCTACCAAAGTGTGGACATAATGTGTGCTTTCATTCAGTAACTAAAACAAAAATAATCACCAACCAGTGGTTCTCTTGAATCTGTACAACAGGTGAGACACTTCTGATAGAAGTTCTTGTTACAGTGGTCAAGTGATGAATCAGTTTGTCTTCACTGTGTGCAACCTTTTTAGAATAACTTTATTTAAATGTATTCTAAAGCTGAATGTGTCCTTTGTGTGTGTGCTTTGTTGCAGGGCACATTTTTAGGCGTGTACTTCATGTCTACCACTGAGCTGCTGCAGAACACCTCAGTCCTGGCCGTGCTTCTCTTCCTGGCTTTAATCCTGCAGAGGACCTTCCTACAGGCCTCGTACTACGTCACCATAGAGACCGGCATCAACCTGCGGGGAGCCCTGCTGGTGAGTGAAGCATCATGGAAACTTCAGTTCAGACGTTTTGTTTCCACACTGAGGTGTTGCTTTGAAAAGCTCTACATAAGTGATCTTCCTGACATTTCGGAGAGGCTGTCTGCTCATACAGAATTATTTGATCTCAATACAAACAGTCTGATTTGACAGCAGATCATTTAAAATGCTGAGGGAGCTGCTGCTCACAGCTGCAAATGCACCTCATGTTGTGCAGGTTGAAACTTAAAAACCACCACATGATTTTTTTAGCCAGTTTTTAGCATACATGAGGCAACATGACAGGGTTCCCCAGCGTTAAAGTACATATTCCTGCATTATTCAGTCGTGTCAGTCATACATTTATTTAAACAAATGAACCAGTGGGATAGAAAAGCCTCCAGCATTTAAACCATGGGCTTAAAGGGACAGTTTGTATTTTTATGCCTCTGCACCGTCCCATTCTTGTGAACACGTTATCTCAGGAATGTTTTGAGGGAATTCCTTCAAATTTGACACAAACGTCCACCTGGACTCAATAATGAAATGATTAGCGTTTAAAGTTTAATTCTAATTTGAAGTGAATCACTATCAGTTTAAGTGCACTACAGACCCTTTTAGGGCTGACGTCACATGACGTCAGTTTGTTAGCTGGAGGCAGTACACGACTCTCCCCCACAGGGCTGTAGGCTACATAGGAGTCTTAAAATGTGTTTGTCTTGTGTTATTGGGAGCCAGAATAGAAGGAGTCATGGCTAAAAACCAGCCGCCACTGCCCGTCAACAAAAACAAAGATGGTTAAATGTGATAAGACCAAAGGACTGGACGGAGGCCATCATCAAAAATGCTCACATGTGCAGCGCACACTTCATATCAGGTTAGGGAGAAAGTATTTCCTGTTGTAGGGATGAATAAGGTTATGTGTATTAAGGGTTATCATGTCCACCTCATCAGAAACTGGGGAGGGATTAAGAGGAATATTGGATTTCTCTGGAACGCTAACTTTTTAGCACATTAGCTAACGTTAGCTTCCATAGCAAAACAAACAAGTGTGGTCCTCCTTTGTAAGATTGGCTTCCTGTGACATCAT